CTATTGACAAAAAGGTCACAGGTGATAAGAAATCGAGCGATCTTGATGAAATGTGGTACACTAGTTTATGCTACCCAGGAATTGATTAGAGATTCAAGGTTTTGGAATTAATTTTCAGGGAGGGAACATGCCAAGTTACTCCCATTTCCAAACGGGCCATATGATCACATTATTCCCCAAAGAGGATTTCATGAAAAGTGCTCTGATGTCTCCTGAATATGTGGCAAAAAGTCCAGTAAATTAATGAAGATCATGCAATGAGGCAATACCTGTGCACTGCCAAGTTCAATGGAGGAGGAGGGTGGCGAAATTGGCGGAGGTAGTTTCCTTATCTCTTCCCCTCAACCGAGAAGAGAAAAGGAAATCTACCCATTCAATAGCGTCGCTCTCTTTCTCTATCCCTCGGACATTCCGTAGTCTTTCTCTGCGATGCCTCATCTCATGAACAGGAAGTTTTCCTTGACTTTACCAGACATTTTTAGTATTTTTGCTGTCCCGTTTTATGGATTAAGTTATTATTTCTGTCCGTTTTGGCAAATAGTTTCAACCCATTACAACGATTAAAAAAGGGTAGTGACTTTCTTCGTTTATGTTCACCCTACAACCTTGAAACTCTAATCGATTCCAAGGGACACTTCTATGAACTTATAAAATATAATTTTGCAGACAATTCCTAGGTTTTGACTTTTTTTATGAGTATTTAAATATACAGTACACGTTTTTACATTCCTTTCATACCTTCATTGCCCATTTTCTTCACAAATTTGGAGTAATCATGTATTGGCCATCCTGGATCATGGAAAGGTGTTATGAGTGAATCAGGCCAAAAATGAGTAATTCCAAGGAGACAAAGACGGGATATTCTATAGTAAAACTTTTCATTTCTGTCAATATGTATTTGTCTCTGATGTTCTCCTGCCTCTAAGTCTAGCGCTGTTGAGCTCCAGGACCCTCATATTATATTTATTGCTGTTTGAAGTAATCAACTGCACTGAAAATATCCTACCTGTAACAAGAAGCTGTTAGTCCTCTGACACATGTAGAATTAGCTCAGCCGAATGATACTTATGTAGTGGGTTTCCTGTCTCATGTACGCATGAAATATGAATACAAGTGAATTTTGCCCCATTTTGGTTTTCAAATAATGGCTAAGAAGTGTTATGAGTGGGACAAATATTTTGATGAAACCTGCTTCCAATCCTCATCCAGATTCATATATGAATCAATGATTTCCCTTAATCTCAAAATCAGATCCAAGTGGCCCAAAATGAAAGTGGGTGACCCAGGGTGACCCAAATTTGCCCAAATTGTTCAATTGATCCAATGGGGCCTCATTTTCCTAAGGCGATAAAAGTTAACTAAAATTTGGAAAGGCCATGGGTCACATTGAATCCCTATTGGTCAACCCTGGCTACTATTAAATAGTGAGATTGAGGGAAGGTCACAATGGGTCGAAATGGGTCACCATGGCTCGAAAGGGTCACCGTGGCTCGAAATTGTTTCGATTGTTGTTAGATTGTTAGTATGTATGCAAGTAACTACCCCAAGGGATGAAACACTAGATTTCAAGTCATTCTGCATCCACATGATACTTTTGTCCCACCAATAAAGGAGGTTACAGGTTGGACAAACGTTGCAGATATTTAAATGGGATTAATTTTTAAATTTTGCATTATCATATACATGTTGCATATCAATAGAAAGATAGTGATTCTGCTAAATTTAATGGTATTATGCAGTGAGTTAGTACATGTGTATACTATAAAATGCTTACATAAAAACCGTCTGTGTGCATTCATTGCAGAATAATGACGCGCGAAAGCGAAAGAGTTGCTGTGGTCGCATTGTTTGAAACGGGAAATCGATGTACTGCAATTTTACGTGCACTGAATTGGGACAAATCCAGGAAGTCAATTTGCTGAATACACCATCCGAAAGTGTCGAGCCACTGGTGGTGTGTAGGATCGCAAGAGATCCGGAAGGACAAATGGCCGCCGAGCTCGCCTGACCTATGGACTATTACATATGGTCCGTTGTCGAGGCATAGGTCAACACCAAAAATTATCTCGGTTTGAAGAGTTTACGAGATTCTCTACGCAAAGAGTGGGCCAAAATACCCCAAGATGATATTCGAAATTGTAAAGATTAATGGCTGGAGAGACTCCAAGCTTGTGTTTCTCAATGAGGAGGTAGATTTGAGATCTACTGTAGGTAGAATAAGTTGGAGGTATTGCTGTTGTTTAACCGAATAATATATTTCATTTTGTTTCTGCGAGTATTTGAGGAGTAGTGATAGATAAGGCTCGCTTTAAAACTCATGTTACACCCTGTATATCATTTTTATCCAAATGTGAAGGGTTTCAAAATGTTAGGTTAGGTTAGGTTGAATGATTTCATTGTTTTCAAATGGGACTTCCAATAAATGCCTTCTGCACAGCCAGCACCTTAGAATGAATATAGTTTCGACAGTAATCGGTGAACTTTAGCTAGGAATTGGAAAATCTCGAGCAAAAAAAAAGCTTTCATTTATTACTTGTTATGTTAAAGTTCATGATTCCTGTTGACATTGTGAAACTACAAAAAATATTATTCAATTGTATTTTATTTCATTTCTTCTTTGTATTCTGCATTTCCCTTCCATCAAAACCGCTGGAAGTATTTTTATGATGGTAAACTCACGCAAAATAACTTTGTCGTAACCTAATCTAAACTAACCTTACTTTCTCAAACCCCTCAGCTTGAAGTAAAAGTGCCATTTTCTTACTCTGCAAAGGACATTATTTCAAATGAAATATGATTCATTGAATTCGGTTTAAGGGCCCAAATAACATTATATTGGGCATTCTCCTTTGAAGTGGCTGCCCAATCCACTACATGCTTAATGCATTATTTTGGCCATTTGTCAAAAACTTTGTCTCGTGACATCTCTGAAAATGTTTAACTTAGGACGCTACAATTTTAGATTTTTACTATCATCCACAATTTCAAACAGCATACATTTTCAATATGGAATGAATGACAGTACATAATTGTGTTTTTAAAGAGTTAACAAAAAATGCTATGGGTGGGAAAATTTTGATTTGAAATGTCGCCTCTCATATGTATGACCTTGTACAAATTTATCACGCTGTCTCCTATCATGGCGTAGCAATGCGCATCAACATGGGCAGTTGTAGACCCATATCTTATTAGGGTAAGCATGCAAGACATTTTGTTATGGGTGGGACAAATATGCTTGACATTTGCAGGTAAAAGCAAAAACATTTAATTTTCACAATTATTTCAGAACTAGGATGCTTCTAATTATGTGTAAGTCATGTAGGTATGATGACGTCTTCAGGCGAAAAATTTCGGCTCTCAATTTTCAATTAGCCTATTTATGACACTACTGTTATGCGTGGGACAATAAAACGTACCAATTCTGAGTACACCTATAATCCTTAGCAAAGCTAGAGAGATACTGCCTCTAATAGCAGTTGAAGTGCATTCTGAAAATGAGTAATATGTTTAGAATGTTGTGACATTTGTTTTAAAAATATCAGAGAACAAGAATTTGTTCCACAGAGAAATGTTCTGAGCGTGCTAAGGCAAAGACGTGTTATGGGTGAGACAAATTTAATTTCTCTATTTCGTGTTTCCCTGAAAAATGCTTCAAACTATGCCAAAATATATTTAAATAATTGCTCTGACGCGACTTATTGATTTTTGAAATTTCAGCAAGATACATTCATTACTGCCAGAGTTATGGTATTTTAAAGTCTGAAGACACGCAATTGCTCCAGTTTGGCCTGATTCACTTTTATGTGAGTTCATTAATACATATGTTGCCTGCTGTATTAAGTATGAACACAAAGAATCACGAGTCTGGATGGACATGGCGAGCTTAATTCCGAAATTTTACCATTATTGAAAGTATTTGGGAAGTTTGCATCCAGAAAGCCCCAGGTTTACCATGATCACTCATCCGTACCCTGACAAAACTAAGAGGTACAAGATGTCTTTCGATTTTTCGTATTTTGCTTTTGTTAGTATCACTAAAATAAAACTTAGCTATTTGTTGCACAAGTGGGGATCTTCTAGCAGGGAAGAAAATACATATTGGATGCTACTTCTGAATGACATAGATACCTCGACTTAATTCCACACTCCAGTAACAAGGATCACTTCCCACTAATCGTTAGGGAATTCCATTTGAATGAAGTTTCTAGAAGGAAGTATAAAGATCTTAGATCCAAGATCCAAGCTTTGATTAGATTTTCTTATTGATTACATCTCATATGATTACATTTTCTCCAGATTTTCGTAGGGAACGATACAGAGAAAGCATTAGTGGATGCCGCCGAAGAACATCTCAAACAGCACTATCCTGAAGCCGGAAAACGTCACTATTCTCTCCCACCAGGATACCTACTAAGGAAGAAGTACTTCATTCATTTGCTCTCTCAAATGAAGGCAGAGCTGGAAAATCCAAAAGGGGAACATGTTGATCTTTCTCCTGATTTTGTGGCGAAGGCTCTTGTTTTCCATCTAGCAAAAGAAATATGCAGTTCTATTCCTTCATTGGTGGTTGTAGACTACAATTTCTCTGAGACATTTAATCGTAAAGGAATATTCAATCTAATTTGGGAAAAAATGCCAAAGAAAGACCGAGAAAGACGACAAAAGGAACTCAACATTGCTAGATTCAAGGAGTCAGGTTCCCATGATGTTTTCATGTTGTATCCCTATGGAAACTTGATTTACATATTGTTCTTCCAAATAAGAGACACAACTTCGAAGTTTAATGATGATACAATCAAAGAAGAAATCAGCAAGACCATCAATAAGTGTCAGGAGGACAGAACCGTGTTCAGAACGATGTGTGCCCCATTCCTTGACCATGCTGAAAATTCGAAACAACGTGCAAAAGTTGCTTCTTTCCCAGCCTTTCCCTTGTTGGAGAGAAAAGAACTGCTAAGATTGTGTTGTGCGTCATGTTCGCACAAGATCTTAACCAAAGACGACCTCCAGAGTTCGAATACTCTAGAAGACTTCCTTCGACAGAACAACGTGGATGCACCCTCTGCGTCAGGTGCACAATGTACTTCACTTGCGAAGTTCAAAGAAATTTTTTCTTTCTATGTCTGTGCATCTTCTTTCGTTGAGATTCCACGGAGTGATCTGAAATACGCCGAAGCCTCCAATTTACAAATGCTGGAAGCATTGGGGGTGTTGACTCCAAAGCAGAAGGCACTCGTAGATGAGGAAACATGGCTTCTACTTGTTGCTGGAGGATCAGGCACAGGAAAGACAGTTGTTGTGGTAGAAAGAGCCAAGAGGCTTGCGAAAAGTTTCCCAACTGATGACGTCTTGGTGGTGAATCTTCCAGGGGGACATCTGACAGAAGTCCTAAAGGAATGTTTTCGAGGTCAGTCAATATCTTGTTTATTTTCTTTCCCAGTTCCTATATGTAGGATGGGGTGGTTCTAGATGTTCAATATTGCAACTAAATTATTAGCAACCAGGGGCAGTAGCCAGCGGAAGGGAGTATGAAACAGTTATCAATTGCTTCGAATAAATATGAAGCAATTCATCCAAACACCTACTCTGATGTTTCTGCTATTGTGATTTTTCCTGAACTCCCCTGAGCCAGTACCTGACATTAAAAAATGCACACCTTAAACAGCAAAGCGCTTGTCTTTCAGATACTGGCAAAATGAAAAATTTCAATCCCAACTCCCATCCTTAAGATATACCATTTAACTAAAGAACCTACAGATCTTTCTTCCTGTTAATATCTCAGCAAGATAACATTAAAATGTTTTCTATGCAAGGGGATCAGTGAGACCCCTCTCAGATCAGCGCAGAAACGCGTTTTGAGGGTGGGACGACTTGGAATGAAAGACATGCTTTGTAAGTGGAAGGGGCGAAGCGAGCTTGTGGTACGAGAATCCGTGCAATATAATTACCTGAACATCGCGAAATCTAAAAAATGTGAGAAAAAACCTGCACTGAAAAATAAACTATTTCTTAGGGATGTGTTGCATGAATCTTGCATGGGATTAGCGTCATAATGAAATTCTCCTTTTGTGTTAACCTTTTGTGTTAACCTTATTTGCAACGTTTCCACTTTCGTTTCTATCGATCCCGAGTCACCCTAACTGTATTTTCACTGTTTAGAAGTTCTGTGTACGTCACAGGAGAGTTCTGGGACTGATGAAGTTCCTAAAAGTTAATACTTTATATGCGAATGTTTACATTTCAGAATATATTTTACAATAGAATATTCGGGAATATCCCTTTGAGGACGGATTTTGCAATCATACTGGCATATTTTTTTGAACTTTCATAGTTTTGACATTTTGTTCCAACATCAGATTTAAAATAATGTTTATTAGCCTCTAATGATACTGGGCGATTCCATGACTAATTAACCAATGGTTAACTCGACGATAGCCGTATGTCCAGCATGCAAATATTAATGTCACGTGATGATAATGAAATTGAGTTTGTGATGTTCACATCCTGCACCGATGCAATGATCAAATTGTTCCGCCTTCGGAATCCCTTCTTCCAATACTTCATAGGAAAGGGAATGTTTTGCCTATTTTAACGAAACCATGTTCGAGATTGGCATTGAATGGATTGATGAAATACGACTATTTGACTGTAGCAGTTGTGTCTTTCGCTAAACTGCCCTTCTAATTTACTTGAAAAGGTTCCGCCTCATAAAAAAAATTATATAAAAAATATGAAAACTTTCGCAATAAAATATACTAGACCACCCCTGCGTCCCACGGGATCCGCTTCGCAGGTAACAAAATGAAAACAGATAAATAACACAGTTAATTTTAATCATCAGAAAGAAAAAATACAATCAGTAAAGGGATACCGTTCGAATTTCGAAGTGCCACGCTTTGAATCAATAATAGGGGAAGCGTTACGTCATCATGGAACCCTCAACTGGATGTATGCACATTCTCAGCGAGTTCCGCCTCGTAGCATTTAAGTGAGACACTGGTTGAAATTTCGAACACCCGGAAGTTGGATTAATAATTATTTTGAGCCATGCACGGGATGTGGATCAACTGCATTGAACCGACTCGACTCGCGGATGCGGCGGGCGACTCAGTTGGCAATCAATTTTCTTGTCGGATGTAGGTGAATACGCTATCAGAGGATCTTTCTTTCGAGCCGTTTACATGCTAGCGGAATGTAGTAACGTATGAGAGCATAGAACAAGCCAGCGTGAATGTGACGTCACGGTATAGCTGGAACCGTCAGCAGAACCAGCAGGGCCGCTTAGATGAAGGACGAACCAAGAGACCCCGAGTTCTGAGGCTTAGAGGCCTAAGTGGGCTGCGGGCCGACACGATCGGCCCTACACGTCTAGCGGGTGCGGTCGGTTTTGTTCGGTTCCGCAATTTAGTTTCGGGTCAGGTAAGACCACGATTCTAACCGGACCGATTGAGTCTAGTTCAAAGAAGTCGACGCGAGCATGCCTCCAGCGGACAGACAGACGGAGGACGTCGGCTATATTAATACACCGATCGCACCCGCGAAGCAGATCCTGCGGGACGGAGATAAAATTCCGGGATGGGATGACTTCCGATGTGGGCTACCTGCAGAATGTTGTAAGATATGTACTGTATATCACATGAAAATATTGCATGATTATGTTACAGGGATATATGTTTCAGCCGTTTGAGTTGAGGTATGAGTGTATGATATTAATGTGTTGATATAATGGTTACGTTCTACGTGGACATTCTGGAGCAGGGATGTGAAACGCCTCGGGCCATTGCGTCTGCTAACTGTGCTCCTACCTTCCGTGCATGCGCAATGTACTCGAGTCAAGTTTCTTTAGGCCCTATGGGTTTAGTCTTTGTTGTTCTAGGGAGGCTCATCATGGCGCTGGCACGTTTTGTGGACCTCAAAGTTTTTTTTTCGCAAGTTCGGTCAAAGGCCAAAGAGTGAGACAGTCCACCTGTTCTGAGAAATGATGGGTCAGTTGGGTTAGGAAGGGGTCGCGGCCTATGGCCGGGATTTTTTTCTAATCCAACTGCTCCATCATCCCCCAAATTAGGTTGACATTTTCACTCGTTCGGTGAAACGTAGAAGGAATGTAGTTCGCTTGATGTGCCTTGTTCTTGTTTTCTCTAAGGTTAGTTAGTTAGGGTATATAGCAATAACGCGAAAAAATCACTGCATGAAAACGTTTGAGGATTGAGTTTTTCTTTGGGGCATATGTCATGAGGACCGAAGGTTGGGGAGGCTGTCAGGACTGGACTAAGAAAAAAAGAGTATGACCGCGGCTCAAACGCGGGCCTCCTGCCTGTCGTCCAGTGCGCTACCATGACGCCACTTAGCCCAGGACATACAATTAACTTGCCTATCACCACATAAGCGTTTCTGTTCCAACGAAAACGGGCAGTCTCGCCCTCCGTTCAACGTGACTACACATAAAAATTACTACTTCTTTTTTATTATATTAATGCAGAGTGATCAACGATTTCAATAAGCATTGTTTGAACTCCAACTGTTCCTTTTTCAGAAGTCCACGTATTTTTTCAAACTGAATGACCTTGGTTGCTTTGCAACCGAAGTCCGGAGTAAAAACATATAAGGTGCGCCATCCTGACCGCTAGGTACACCGAGCGACGAATGTTTGTTTGTTTGTGTGTGCATGACAGCTACAGGCCAAAAGCTTTGAGATATGAACTTGGGGTTTTAACAGTACCCATCCTAATCATCCGACGATGTGCCTTTTCGAAATGAAATTCGCCAATCGGCATCACAAAAAGGAAGCGAAGGCAACTTCGCATAAAATAGGAGATTCGCTCTCTTCTCGCCATCTCTCGGATGAACGAGGAGACGAGGGTTTCCGTGGTACTCGCAAGGGAATGTTGGCATCACTTACTGCTGTGCTTCCCTCATGCTGCCGGGAATGGAGGTATTTTAACCACTTGGGGACGGAATTATTTTTGGCCAAATAAACGCATTTTTAAGATGTGGATAGTATTGGCTTACTAGATGCATGTTATTGTAACTTTGATGAATGAAACTCATACAATGTACAAAATAAACTAATTTTTTAAATCCTTTTATCATCATGCGTTCATGACCGTCAAAATATGCCCCCATGGCATGGATTTAAAACTGCATTTTTCCTGAACTCATCGTCTCAATAGTTCGTCAATCATCCATGCCACGTTTCAGCTTTCCATGTCTCTCCGTTTTATTCAAGCAACAGGACATGGAAGGCAAGAAAAGGCATGGAATGGCCGGGAATTGAATCCAGGTCTCACGATTACCGGTCAGATGTGCTACCACTACACCACCGAAACGGGGACATTTATTGACGTCTCTTGATGACATTATTATCCATCACGATATATATAAAAAATAAAACCTCTCCCCAAAATGTGTACCCCCAGGGCATATACCTCCAAAGTCGGATTTTTTCTGAACTCTGCACCCCCAATTCAGCATTCATCATGAGCTATTCATTTACAATTTCATGAATTCAGGAGCGCTTGAGCACACTGAGCAATTACGGACAGATTTCTAACCTTTCTGGAACATGGTTAGAATTAGCGTCAGTCAGTCATGATCGTCTATATATATTAGATGAGACCGGGAGCTTATAATAAAAAAAACGGTGGTTTGCGATTCGTGACTGCACTGTTTGCTGCATGTTCCCTATCTTCCTCCATTAGTATGAGATTATGTGCGATGCTAGTCGTTGATGTTTCTGAGAGTGGGACTCCCCACATTTCGGTTGTTAGTATGGCTGCGATCTCGTGTCTGTGCGCCAACACTGAGAAGGAGTGTAGTAGATTGCAATGGAAAATACTCTCGCTAAAGGTTGGAAGGTACACTCCATGTAGTATGCAGTTTGAAACTATAACCCTAAGAATATATTTTTTTCTTCGCTCTATAGGCATCATGCTCCATTGGCGCGCTGAGAGGCAACGTGGAATGATGTGTGAAGTGAGCTTTGAAAAATAACATCGGCGCAGATTTGCTATTTCGGCATGGGATTTTAATGAATTATTTTTATTCGCCGTTGTTGACACAATTCACATAATCGTGTGCCAAGGATAACCACTGGGCAAATGCGTCTCGACACGATTTTGGACATCCAAAAGGCTTCGACCAAGGTTATTTCTGCCATCTCAGAGGAAGACTACCAGAGGTGTTTCCAAAAATTGTATGATCGTTGCAAAGCCTGCATTTCTTCGGAAGGGACGTATTTTGAATAATCAATAATAAAAATTCTAAATATCACATGGGAAATTGATTTGTAACTGAAGTTCGGATACTTTTGGGACAGACCTTGTATATCCGTGCGCATTTTGCGGCGCCTAAGATCGGCAACTTGTAGGAAACCTTAATTTTAAAGTCCTCCAATTTGTCATGCCTGAAATATTGAATTTCCCCGGGCAACGCCGGGTAGTTCATCTAGTGACTAATATGGAGAAATGAGAGGTGGTTTTCCATTAACCTGCCGCTCTTTTAGTGCGTACAATTCACAAGTACACCATGATCAACTTTGACATCTGACAAATATAGCATGTTTTTTTCCGATGAATTCTCTTTTTTCGTGTCTTCCAATATCATTTGCCTAAGTCACGTTTGCTATTGTGAAATAATGAGAAGAATATGTAAATAAAATGCATTTGACATTTTATTTTTCACTAGAAATGCCCTCGGGAGACAACATCAAGGTGTTGGATGGGAAAGAGCAAAGAATTCCAGTGGATCGTAAATGGTTATTCGATTTTCTCAAAGAGCAAGGGGAAGGAAAACATGTCCTACTTGATGAAGTTCCTCTAACTTTAGGAATCCATGAAGAAATGGATGAGAAAAGTCTCTGCCAATACTGGGAAGAAATATCTAGTCTCAAGAAATGTGTAAAGAGTCTTACATTCTCATTTCGTTCCATTGTTACCACTTACACAAAGGACATTAACCTGTATCACATCAAGTTCGCTGACGCCCGCATGAATGTCCTTAATGTTGTGAAGAGAAACACATTACACGTATCGGAATTATTCTTAGCCCTTGGTGACTATTCACGCCGGATATTTGTTTGTCAAGAGCCTACCATTCGAAATATGAAATTCATCCATCCAGAGATTGAATTGCTGCCGACCTTGTTCCCCATTCCCTCATGCTCTTCTCTGCATTATCCCTGCAAGAGCAAGCCTATTTGCGAAACCACTAGATCCTGTAAGGCCATTCTGACACTTTTGAAAGTGCTTGGAATCTCACCCGAAAAGCAACTATACGTAGTAGTGGACAGCTTGGATCGACGAAATTGTTTGGTGAACATGTTTACCCATATGTCCAACATGTCTGTGAAATTCATTGACCAACATGGAAGATTGCGCCAAAAGTCTGAAGTCCCTGCCATAACAATTGTGACAGACCAACAGATTCTTGGATATCACCAGGAAAACACCATCACCGTCATTCTAGATATCTATGGTTGTCGGTGGAAAAATTACTCCCGCATGATATCGTCTTGCCATGAACATGTGATTATTGTTATGGAAGACGAAAGTTTGCTGAGAGGGAAATATTCTCAGATAAAGGCTGCTATGCCCGACTCAGTGGAGAATCAGATAGTACCAGATTCAACAAGAAGCATTTTCCAGGAAGGTTTGAACGAGATTTTGAACAAAATTTGGGAAGTGGAAGAAAAGGAGTTTACAAATCTTGAGGAGGCAACGTTTTCTGAGAAAAAAAATTTCCTTAACATGAAAACCTCTGTCTTTACGCTGAAAGCACATTCGCCCATAATAACGAGGACATCAAGCCTCGCAGTAGTCTTTGGACCTCCCTCTTCGGGAAAGAGCATGCTTTTGCTTGAAAGCATCCACGAGCTCGCTCAGGATCACGAAGACAAAGAAGGAATTCTCCTTTTCCATATGGGAAGTACACTCAGTCAAGTGACTGCACAGCATCTCTTTCGGGATCATGCATGCGTGCACGTTGTTCGCTCAAAACCATTTCCTCCGAAGAAAATACTTGAACACGATCGCGTGGAGGAAGCGAAGTGGAAGTATGCAACACTTCATATTTTTATAGATGACTATCCAGTTCAAGCTAAGTGCACAGAGGAAGAGATTCAGAGCTGGAAAGAAGTCCTGAATCAATTGAAGAAAGACCCGCAGGTGACAGTGACGATTGCCTTCCAGTGCCATTCAAGTAGTGGTCGAGAGATCAGCCAGACGGACCTGAGCTCCTATTTCGAGAAAGAAAAGGTGACAGTGATCGAACTAAGGTCTGGAGTTCGCCACACAAGCAAATGGCTTCTCACTATGATTTATAAGAATGAGACTAACGCTCCAATGCGATTAGAAACCAAATGCCTTCCCACAGGTTCCCGTCCTGGTGCTTTGGTTTATGGCCCCAAACCCAAGCTCATCGTCATGAATTACGATTGCACAGGAAGTCATATTTCTTACAAATGCAAGGGACAGAAATATTGCATGCCCTTCATTGGGGCGTTCTTGTGTTTTCGCTTCGCCATGTCACTCGAGATGAGTGGAGATCCAGTTCACGTGCTAGTCTCAGACAGAAAGCTGATATCCTTTTTGCAGGCAATTAGCAATATCAGAGGAAGAAACCTGAAGTTTTTCCATCCCGAAGACTTTCGAGGGTGTGAATCTAGTGTCTGCATCACCATAAATGTTGATGATACATGGCTTTTGGAAAGTATTTCCAGAGCCCGAACGGATCTCTTCGTCATTGATTGCTTACCTGAACATCAACAAGTTTGGCATGCTATGCAGGAAGAGGACCATCTAGAGATTCAGAATGTGAAAGAGATTGGAGACATGGGATTGCCATGGGATGAAGATATCCTTCTAAACCTGAATTCATCCGGAAACTTCCTGTAAGCCCCGTTCCCTCACTATTAGGTGTGTATATCAAACACATTATTTCAAAAAGTATGGAAATAATTAAAGAACATTTAAATAGTTATGCGCATTGAAAGCATTTTCAAGCAGTGGAGCCGATATTGAACATGGTTTCAAGTTCTCACCAAACTATATAGTATGATGGTCCATTAGAACCACTCGGTAGCTGTTGAACTATTAAGTGAGAAGATTGATGGAAGTCAATACCTTGCGCTACCTAGAATCCATTTCCATAACATTCACGTAACAGTCACTCGTCGAAGTGATGGTGTAAATGTCAAGTATGATAGCGTTAGATGCCTGCTTTCTCAGAGCTCCGAGATCTAGGTAATGCCATATATCACGAGTTTCACCTCTTGTTTACTTGGTTTCAAGAATATGGCTCTATGAAGGTTTAACTGTAAAACCAGAAATGGTTCTCATCCGAATCATTCCATTCGGAGCATGCAAAATGAAAACATCCATGGTTCCTGCTAACTATGCGCACAGCGCTTATTGGATTTATTTTCCCTGGGGCATTGACACACTTGTCTCACCACTCAATAAATTTTATATGGTACTGTTGTAAAATGGCATTGTCCTATGGTGAAACCATGTCCTTCCTGCTGCTACTACGTCATCTTCCGAGAGGTATCACTGGCCCCTAAACGCCTTATTCCTTATGTCAAGCACGAGAACGTAACATAGTGACAGGGCTTGACTGTAAGGAGGATTGTTTGCAAACGATCTTTGAACTAAGATTTTCAAAGGTGGCCCCTTTCGCGGGAGCGGTACGAATTCGGGTGTTGTGTCCAGGATGATGCCATTTGTCCATGATGCAGGGTGCATTGCCCCTGATGGAACAACAAAGTTCTTGACGAAAAATGTTGCCGTATCTCTCCGAGTTGACCCCATGAATCATTAAATCCAGTAACTATCACAATCAAAGAACCAAAGAACTGTCACGGAGACATTCCCTGCTAAAGCATTAGTTCAGAAATTGAGGCTGGGGAGATTGAAAATGCGTCAAATGTTTGTTGATGTGCTTTGATTCGGGCTAAAATTAGAACCGTGCCGATTGTTGCGATATCAATATGTTTATCAATATTGTTCCTTCTAATAATACTTTTATTTCACCCGATATCGTTCTCCAGCTTCCTCTGCCCCTTCATGCTTACACTAGTATGCATACGGGGCCCCTTATTACGGATGGTTGCAGAAGGAAAAGCTGCAGGATTGCTTGAGGAAATCTAAACTTAAAAGCTTTCATCACCCCTAGTTATCCCCACGAATCACAAGGAACATACAACACGGACTTGAAAGGGGACAACATGTGGAGAGTTTCACTCTCCCGTGATGCTTCCGTCATTATACTTATAGAGAGAAAAAAGACAATCACATCACTGACGAAAAGGGAAACGAGAACATCACAAGACAAAATGATAAAAAATAAGTTACTATCACATGACGGCACCTTCATGGGTAAAAGCCGGTGATTTCTAACACACCCGTTTTCCCTGCTATTTTGCTCGGAAAAGTAACGAGACCTTTCAATAGTAAGTTCTCAAGGTCAGGATTTTGTCGCGAGCAAAAAACATCAATAGTCCTTCCGCTGCTTCATCAAACGTTGCTACGCATTAATCAGCTCTACACCGCAAACAAACTCGCTAGTAACCTATATCGCGAAGTCCTAGATGAAATGGATATCATCAGATGTTATCACATACCCCTACTTTGGTCCAAAAGCTGTTCTCTTCGGTGAGGCAACACAGCAGATAGTTGAGAGAAAGACCCATACCCTAGCAGCACATAACATTGAAATAACTTTGATTCAACCTTGATTCAACATCCGGACGTTGAACCAACTTTGAATAAATGTTGATTCAATGTTATGTGCTACTAGGGTACAGACATTCTTCAGGTCTTCTGGTATACGTTAGACGTTCATCAGCTGATGTTGGAGGCGATCCTGGACGATTGTGTACACACTCATGACTGATCATCTCCTATATTGTTACGACATCCAGAGGAAACACGTTCATTGCTTTAATCCACCCTCGCGATGTTCATTTAAATGATGAGTTTGGCTGTGCGGGTGGGGTTTTGATCTTAGCATTGAGACGTCCACCTTGAAAAACTTTGCACCGTTCACATAATCTTCTCTGGGACAAGGATGCCTTTCATATGGCTCCTCAATCCACTTGCATAATTTGCTATTTTTGTAATTTCCAACTTTACTCGCGCTTACACTGAACGGCTTTATTTTCAGGGAGGATTATGGACCTCAATTGCAACGTCTATGGGATATCTTCAAGGACAGCAGCATGTTGGTCGATATGCAACAATTCCTCGATAAGCTGGAGGAGAAGAACCTAATTTCACGAGCGCAGAAAGTTGAACTGAAGGAGAAGAAACATGCTCAAAGGATTGATGATACTTTCTCCATCTTGCAAGGGGAAAATGGCATGCGCGTCAACGAGAAAATTCTGGTGATTTTGAAAGAAATGCACATGGAAGATATCATCCAAAAAATGTTGCACAAGCGCGCATAGATTATTCCCCTTCCCCATTTCATAAATAAATAAATGCATTTTGGGGCTTCCGCCATTTTGTGCAGTCTTGTTATGATGGATGAAAGTCCTCCGGACGACGCGGCAGATCATCGACCGAGACATTTGTCCAATGGGAGCGCAAGCGTGACCCTTGCTGATCATTCGATAGATCCCAAGCAGCATGTTTCTGTTAATTTTATTTTAAATTGAATGGAAAATTGTCAATTTTATATCTATTTTACGCAAACCATCATCAAGATAATGTCAACATGTTTGCAGAAACGTCACCTCTGTAATACGTAAACGGTGAAATAAAATTAACGTAAGTTTTACGCAAAATTGACATTCCCGTTTATATCCCCAACCGCATGTTTACAATCATTTAACGCAAAATTGATGTTAATTTCCCCCTAATATTCATGCGCATTTAACAAGCCAATTCGTACTTTTTAAGGGAATTGATACACTGTATTTCTCCTATTCCTTTTCATACGTTGGAAATCAAGGTTACTTGGACAAGTACACAAGTACTTCTTCATCACCAGCACCCAAGAGTGCCAGGATGACTCACTTGTTCCTCCTCCCGCGCCAGTACCTCGGGTGGAGTAACAGATGTTTAGAGGAGCTCTCTTACATGAAGGATAGAAAAAGTATTATACTATACTTATAGAGCTGGGATTCTACTCTTCCTTAATCGCGTGCACTGTTGTAATAACAAGCTTAGCTTCGGCATTTAATGGTTTATTCCCTGAGTCATTTATTATTAAAAAAATATTAATAATTTACTGCTTTCCATATATATATTAATGGATTGCATAATAAAAAGTGGAAGGATGGTAAGAAAACCTGATACTATATCGGGAAAGCCAGTACATAATAGCATTTGTATTTTGCGGGGAACAAGGGTTCCATCTAGTGCGGAATCTAAGTATTGCAGCTGCGGGATGGTCAACTAAAGTTTCATATGGATGATGTGGCATTAATTTTGCATAAACTTGATATGCATTTCACGTCAGATGGAGTGGCGTCTAGTTTATGTAAAATACACGTACACTTTGGTGACGTAAATATAGGAACGTAAATTTTACGTAAACGTGATGTCATTTTCAGGGCAATCGCACGAAATTTACATTGTTTCCCAAAAATTGATATCTTGTTTACGTAAGCATGCTGCTTAGGATGTCTCTCGTGAAGGGCAGAATACTTTCTCTATGATCTCGCGCTCCTTATTTATGGAATCGACGCCAACAGAGCTGAGCAGAGCTGAGCGGAGGAAATCAACTTGTTTCAGGATCCAAGGTTCAATGTTAGTACGAATTTTTCTGCCATGGAAGTATAACGGTTGAATTTATAACGGTATAACGGTCTTTATTTTTTCTAACATGACATTTCGGGTCGTTAAGGTAAGTTCGTCCTCCTGACAATAAAATCTTCTCGAACGCGCCAATAAAGAGATCGTAGCATTTTTCACGAGACCGGTGCAGAAGATGGTCTAAGTTCACGTTTGAGCGAAATGAATCGGTAATCTGACACGTATTAAATTTTGATATTTTCCAGTCAATATCGTGTATGACCGTTCACCTCCTAACCGTGGACACATGCTCGACATCCATGCGAAATAAGGCAATCCACAACTGCGCAAAGGAGTTAATGTTGTCACGGCTTAGCCAAAAGAAGCGCGCAGTTCTTCCGGTGGCCGCTAGGTGGCGCCTTCAGGGACGCCACAGGTGTAAGGTCAAAGTGATGACCTCCCCTTTAATTATCCTTTGATCTGTATAAAGTCCCCCAATTCTCTAATTTGGACAGCGGTCGTCCCCAGGGTATGGGCAAATATTTGGAGATCCGGGAAGCTCTGCGCGAGAAGGGCGAACCAGTAAATGATTGTTTGCATGGATGTGCGCTGTGAGATGGGGGTCCTTCGCGAGGCCGCCCTTAGGTGGGTAAGAAGGTGGGATTTCCCCTTGTTTTTCTCTCTCTCTCCAAGAACGGGCCTCACGGTCTCATTTCTACCTACCTGTCCTGATTCACCGTGTACGCGATTAATAAATTCGTATTGTCACTTGGCATCTGGCCAGTGATCTCCCAGACACGCACACTCCGTCACAATATATCAGCTGTAGTTAGAGTGGTTCAGGAGAAACTGCCATTCGTCAGAACGCATGAATTAGACATTTAAATGAGAGAGATAACCAATTCTCCTCCACGTATTCCATTCGACAGTCACTTTAGGGCGCAACAGGTTCTGATCGGATGGGAGTGGGCGCGGTGATCCTAGAGCGGTATTGCTTCTGCCCTCTTCTCCGCGTCCACATCAGTCTCATTGCTTCGACATCGAACCAATGGCAAGCGATGAGGCAGGAATGGGGACGCATGGGAACCCATGCGTCTTGGGAACCCAACACCCGAACATTCCACAATCTCGTCAATTCCAGTAAACATTCGGAGAAAATATGGGGTAAGTGCTGCGAATGTCCGCACTGGGGTTAATCTCAGCACTTTGCAATCGTCAAAATGCTGCTTCTCCTATTAGTCCCCATGACACGGATAGATAAGTATTCTCAGAGGGTAGGACTAATGTTGTTAACTTGTGTTTGGAACAGTCATATTTGCTGTTGTAGTTTTCTCGCAGTGGTTACTTTCTCTAAGCGCACTCAGAAAATGCTGCAAAATCGTGTGATTTTGCTAAGCTTTTATACTGTACATTCCGTTCTTCTGTCCCACATTAGGTATTGTTTTGTCTGCTCGTTCAATTCAGTTTTGAATCCGTTGTAGATGACAATGATACATAAGTGTGCCGATATTGGCAACATCCAACTCATCACCTTTGACCCAGGCCCTCGGAAACTCGAGGTTTGCGGTACACGAAGGTATATAATAAAGGTATCACCAGACCCAACATGAACGAGGAAGCTCCATTAAGAAAACCACCAAGCAAGGCGGAAGTGAAGAATTTGCTTAGGATGCCGACATTCGCAGCACTCACCCCATTCTATACTTATTCCATACTATAATTTTATTCGGCTGCAAGCAAAACGACCAAATGAACTGTGGAAAGGCAAGCTTGAGAGGCAACCCTGTAACCTCGTTCATAGTGTTCCTCCTATCATTTGAGAGGTGTTGCCAGAACTACTGCGAGTTCTCTATTGGTAGCAATCATTTTAAAAATGACGGAAACACTACTGTCCAAGAGCTGTGGATTATATGGCATTTCCCAAAACTGCAAAAGCTCTGACCATGATCTAATCAAGAGTTCTCTCATTTTGCCTTAACCTAGCAAACTATTCACGACGTAGGCGGTGGAAGAACTGAGAGAATTACCACAACACAATAAAAGGAGGTTTGGATGACGATAGACGAATTTATGAGATAAGAACGACAGAAACGCATTCACCCATCTTCCAAAGCACACCTATAACTCAAATGAGTCCCACCATGGGCAAACCCGTGACCTTCCCAGCTCATTGCTATATGTCTTTCATTATCTCCCTTGAGACATCCTCGTTGTCTTATGCGTTTCAAAACCGAAAGGTGCTCACTGAGTTCATCCATTTCCATCTCCCCCTAAAAATCATCGGTACTATTAGCGCCTGAGGATACGAGACCCTTGATGGGATCCAGTCAAGATGAGAAGGAAATGCAATGTCACATCTGCATCATTCCTTTCGTTTCATGAAATGAAATCGTCTCTGATGACAATTTCTCACTGGATACACGTGTTTCTGTTTTTCGTTGATGACATGTTTTGGGGTGCCCGAAACCTCTCACTTCCGTCGACACTTCCGTCGGTCGATAGGGCCGAAAAAATATGAAGCAGTAGGTGAGGCATTCAGGAAAGTTGGATCCATCTCTTGCTCCGTGATGAACGGTGAATAAATTCCCGTGCATTCGAAAACACATTAAGGTGGAAATTTTCCCTCCCTCGGTGCATTACGTTCAAAGGGCGGTCAGAAATGGAGAGGATAGATGAAAAGGCAAAATAAAAGCTAGGATTACGCATGAGTCACTTCCACGTTTCACAAGACCTGGAAAAATTGTGTATCCACGTTGTCGTCAACATGCTTGCATTCACTCCCCTACATAACCCGGAACCTCTCTGAAGTTTCCATTCATTTTGAATTCACAATACTTAACGATGAATTGAACAGAAGAATTTTGAGGTCATCATTTTGGCTGCAATCACTTTCTTGCAGAATTCAGATGTACTCTGATGACCTCATTCATTGTTGCATCCTTTGGGCAAGATAATTCGTTTAGTATCTATCGTCGTTCGAGAGAGACATCTTGTCATGGTTTTGTCAACTGCCAGCAAAAACGTTGAGAGTATTCGTGAGGAGTGTTAGGGAAGAATTTTAGTACAAACGTTTGACGGGAGTTGTTTGGTGACACTCGGGAAGCAATCCTCGTTCATGAAATTCCTCTCCCTCTATCCTTTGGGAATTGCTGCCAGAACTACTGTAATTTTCCCACGCATACCAGTTATTCTGATTTGACTGTAACTATGTAACTAACTCCGAGCAGTGGGTGAGGTGAAGTTTCCCTAGACCGAAATCACCTGACCCGTCAACTCTTTCTTTCTCCACTTGAGAGTTCTGTACTCCTGACTTCGAACAACGCACGCTTTAACAAAGTTTGTGTGGAATGAGTACAAGATTTGATACAAAATAAAAAGTGGATTTGAGGACGACGATTGATGAATTCTTGAGAAAATAATGGGAGAAGCGCATTCACCGCTCTCCGGACGGAAACCTCTCATTGCTTCCCGGAGACATCCTCCAAGTCTTACGAGTTTCCGGGCGAAAGTTGGACCGATGGTATCATCCGCTTTCATCTTCCCATCAAGATTCATGCGCACAATTCGACGCTCCATTCATATGGGTTTCTGGATTGGGTTTCAGTTTAGAAGACCACGAAAAACGATGCCCCATTGCGTCATCGTCATTGTAAAACCTTCCTACACGCATTATTTCTACTTTTAGTCATAAATAGAGTGGATAAAAAAA